CCCCGCCGCCGCCGCCGAGGCTCGGCGCCTCGTAGCCCGCGCGCGGCGCCGCGGGCCGCGCGGCGGCGGCGCCGCCCGGCGGCCGGACCTCGACGATCGTCGTGACGACGCAGTCGAAGTGCGTGTTCGGCTTGGCCCAGGTCGGCACCTCGACGGCGAACTTGCCCGTCGTCGGCGTCGCGACGGCGAGGGAGTCGCCGGGCTTGGCGTTCTTGGGCACGAGCACGCGGACGATCTTCTGTTTCTCCGTGCGGCTCCCGCGGCCGCCCGCGCCCTGGCCCTGGTTGAACTCGGCCTGGAGCCGCGCGGCGAGCATGGCGTCGCGCTGCGTCGCCGACAGCGCCTCCATGTCCAGATTCTGGTCCGTGCCCGCGGCGAGGCGCGCCGCGAGCTCCGCGTCGTTCGATGTCTGCCGGTGCGAGCTCCGCGCGAACTCCTCCTCGGCCTCCATCTGGCGCTTGAACGCGTTCGCGTGCGCCTGCTGGCGCGCCAGGGCGATGTCGCTCGCGCGCCGCTCCCGCGTCGCCAAAGCGTCGTCCTCGTCGTCGTCGGCCAGCTGCGCGTAGGCATCCCCGGACCCGCGGGACACGCCCTGGCGCGGGGCCGGGTTCAGCCCCACTTGCATGACGTTCGCCTCCATGGCGGGCTCCGCCATCATCCCCGTCGCCTCGTCGAAGGTCGGCGGCGCGTAGGCCATGTTTCTCGGCTTGGGTGGCGGGCAATGCGCAATGTTTTCAGGTGCTCTCGAGCTCCGAGTCGACCCGAGGTATGTTTCCGTCAACACGCCGACTTGCCGTGCGCGACGCTAAATTCCAGACCACGAAGCGTCGATACAACAGACAACACACTTAGCGGCCGCAACTCGGCCGCCGCCGCGAGGGCAGGCAGTCGCCGTCGACGGCGTCGTAGAACTCCGTCTCCGAGAGGACGGCGACGCCCTTGCCGCGCGCGTCCGTGGACTTGCGGCCGGACTTCGTCGGCCGGCCCTGCGCGTTGCGCTCGGCGCCCTCGACGAGGAGCGTCGTCTTCGCCGTGACCGAGTCGCGCGTGACGCCGCCGTGCGCCGCGACGAGCCGCCTCCAGTCGTCGCTCGCCCCGACCGCCGGCGGCGCCGCCTTGGCGAAGATGCGCCCAAAGTCCTTGACCATCGACGGCACGCCGACGTTCGCCGCGCTGTGGATCGTCTTGCCGCCGACGCTCGCGGCCGCGATGCTCGTCGGCGCGACGACGGCCACGCGGCGGTCGAACTCGGGGCCGTAGCGCGCGCGGAGCTCGTCGATGACGAGGCGCGTCGTGTACGACTTGCCCGTGCCCGCGGAACCGGTGTAGAAGACGTTCTCGCCCGCGCGCACGAGCTCGAGCACGCGCCGCTGCGCCGCGTTCGGACCCGCCGTCTTGGCGCGCTTCGACGGCGGCGCGTCGTCCTCGACCTCGTCGACCTGCCGCGCCGCGTTCGGACTCGTGGCGCGCTTCGACGGCGGCGCGTCGTCCGCGTCCTCGACCTCGTCGAGCAGCAGCAGGTCCGCACCGCTGCTCCAGCGCGGCGCGCTAGCGTTCGGCGGCGCTGGTTGCTCGTCGTCGTCGTCGAAGTCGTCGATGTCTTCGATGTCGTCGTCTTCGCGCGCCATGCGTGCGCTTTGGTGCTCTCACGCGACCCCTCCCGGTCTCGGTCAGGTCAGCAACAACACAAGCTGCCTTCAACATACGCGGGGACAGTCTCCCGCCACTCTTAAGACAAGGTCATCTTAGGTTCTAAGCCTGAGGGGGTTTAATACGAAGTCAGAGTTGCGCTATGGTTTCGGAGGTCCCGTTTTCTGATGATCGGGCTACGATTTAATCTAAGAGCGACCTGCGCGGTCCCCGTACTGCCAGATGGCGCATGATGTA